TAAAAGAATTAATTGATAGCAATAAATCTTAAAGTCATCGAAATTTGTAGATTAAAAAATACTGAATAATTAGAATGAAAATTAAGCATACATATGTTTCGAAAGGGCTGATTCTATATTGCTATTAAAAAGCAAATCTTTTATAAAATTTTCATCTTCTTCACGACTTCGTAATGGAGCTAGTTCATAATTTTCTTCGTGGGATACTCCATAAACATTTTTTATCCGTACACGATGTTCCTCCAAAGCTGTCAAATCAGTTCTACAATACATATAAAACAAATATTGGAAGAAAGGAACAACATAACCCAAAATACAATAAAACGTTTTATTTAACTATTTAAATTATATAAACATTAGTTTTAAGAACAAGATAAAACATAAAACTTTGAAAATACTTACATGTTTAAATGTAGTAAAACTGCAACTATGTGCTTACATTTTGCGCTTAATCCAGCTTGCAACTGCATTTAATTTCTTTTATTTTACCATCAAAACTGATTTCACCTTTAATTTCATGAGGTGGACCTTTCAAATTTGATGATTGCAAACAAAATGCAATCAATGCACACATGTTTCAACACCAGTCTGTTTACCACAATATAATACATTTCAGCACGTAGAACTTTTTCTCCTTCGGTAAAATTTCTACAGGAAGGTGTAGATGAAGTAAAGGCACAAATTTCTGCGATTCCGACCATGATTCCGACCGATAATTTGCTTTTAACGAGGGGTGTATCACTCTCGAGTCAACAATTTTTAATGTTATAATCAAGTGCATATTATGCTCGATATTATGAATACATACAAGGAATCGTATGAATAACGTTTGAAATCGAGCAATTGAGTAAAATTTGCAGTTTAACGAGCGAGTTATAATGCAGCGTTATCTATTGAGAGCGAGTCGAGGTGCGAACGGTGCGAGTTCGTGTGAGTCGCGGTACGAATCGGTGCGAGTCGATGCGAATCAGTGCGAGCGAGAGTGCGAGTCGATGCGAATCAGCGGATATTAATGTGAATCAATAAAAAGAGGAACGTAATCGTAGAAAAGAATGTCGCATAACGTGCACGTTAAGGGGTTTCTATAATACTTTATACGCATGCTCGAACCGGCGCGAGCGTGACAAGTTTTCTAACCTGAAAAATTGTCGATTTTAATATAATTGTTAATTTTTCACAAATGTGACTTGGTGTTATTCGTTTGATTTTCTAAAGCAGGTATATCGAATTGACTTAGGGTGCGTTCCCATATTCACTGCCAATGCTGAAACTATACAGTATGCGTTATGTACACTATATTATAGATTTTCAGCACCGATAGTGAAAGTGTGTGCCTTCCAACAAGTGACACAGTACAACACAGTGATCATCTCATCCTTGTTTAACATTGGCGAACAACAAGGACATACTGATTCACTTGTGTCACACAATGTCATCTGTGTCGCTTATTGGAAGGCACCTAGTATCAGAACGTACCTTTATTTTACGTACTTTTATGATAATAGAGGTGAATTATTTTTTTAGTCATATAGCTCTTATTCGAACTCTATTAATAATAAATTTATTCCATGTACCTTGTTTTATTAGTATCTTGGACAGTACGTTGTATAAGTTTAATTGAACCTGTGAATTGTTTTCAACTATACTTTATGTATTGCTATTCTCAAAAGGTTAAAAAATATTAAATATTAAACATTTTTTTCCAGCTGTACGTTATATGTATATTATTGTTTCCCTTACTGTTTCCATACTTCTAAATTCAAGTGTATCCTTATTAAATTGCTTGTCAATTTAATTTGTTAATATCACTACTCTGGCTTCGGTTTAGGTGTTTCAATTGATTTGAACTGAAAATTGTATAAATTTACAAGAATTTAATAATTTAACATTAATATAAATATTTTGTGAGCAATGTGTTATAACGTAACTAATATAATATATTTATTTTGCGCGCGCGCGTCTGGAAATACTTTTCTTTCGATCAAAATAAGGTAAATTATTCTACCAAATGGTATTTCACAAGATCAAAAACAAATTCTTAGAGCCGTAAAAAAAAATTAAATTAAAAAATATTAAATTATTTTGAGACCGATGAGATCGAATAAGTAACAGAAAAATACTTTCTAAATTATACTAATATTTACAATATTTTTATAATATTAATCCATTTTGTATTGTATTTTACATAAGTATTACATTTTCTATAATGAAAAAATAATACAACTAAAAAAAACTTCATACGAAAAATTTAACATAATAATAACAATTTTCGTACACCATCTAGAGGTGCGTTCCACTTAACGTTCGCAACGATCGCGTGTATCACCTCATCCTTATTTAATATTCGATTATAAGAAGGACAAAATGATACTCTCGAGCGTTGCGAACGTTAAGTGGAACGCACCCTATATAAGAATGCAATGTCCGAATTTGTATATTACATTAAACTCGATATTAAATAAGCTCAAAATAGTGAAAATAATATAAAATAGTGCGTAAATCAGTAGAGTCAGTGAAAATAAGGAATGAGTCAAACGCGAGTCAACGCGAGTCAACGCGAGTCGAGCGTCGTTAATCATCACCGCTCGCAATAATCCAGATACTGTATGAAATCACACTGTTAATATTCTTAAGATGCGTAGTCTAGTACTTTATTATTTTAATATTTAAAATCGTTCAAAATTGCTTGAAATCGCTTGAAATCGATTGCAATCGTTTGCTAATGTTTCATGTGACTCGCTTTTACTCAGAGTGATACGCCCCTCGGCTTTTAATTTGTACAAAAGTAGCAAACACAGATTCCACTCCATATGTATAGTTAAACTGACCCCGTTGTGTCAGCCATGTTTGTTTTTCGCCTCCTTCTTCTTCTTCTTTAATTAATGGCTCATCGCCTCCAAGTAAATAAAAGGAGGTCGATACGGCCAGATCACGTCAAAGGTAACAAACTCAAATGAAAATTGTATTAAAATGGCGGGCGAACGGATGATGCAATGCCCGCGAGAATGGCGTTACTCGACCGGTATCCGCCCTGTACTAAATTCCAGGTATGTCCAGATATAAAACGTATTTGGTCATATTTGTACAAATATGGACATATAAGTCTTTATTTGTACAAAATTTGAGGCATATAAAAATCAAATATGGTTATATTTGGATTCCCAATTTGTGGACCATAGTGGGATTTTAAAATAAAAATCTATTTTGTGAATGCTTGTAATTTCAGATATTTAAGCATTTGTCCTGAATTTACGATTAAATTATATATGATTTTTATTTGGAAATACATACTAATGAATCAAATAAGAATTTCCATATTTAATATATTTAATCTGTTTAATGGATTTCATAGTAAAAGTTAATACTATCTCTATTTGGAAATCCGTTACTAATAAATCTCGAAAATAATTCGGAAATGCAGATAACGTAAAGCATCAGAGCAATGTATAGGAATGTTAGGAAATGTTAGCAATGTTAGCAATGTTAGGAAATCCACAGTTTATAGTAATCAGTTTTTATACGTTTATCCACGTTATTCCATACTTCCATTTACATACGGTCTTCCATGTATTAACGATTTAAGGTTAAATACGCTAATCTCATATATACCACAGCCAATCATATTAAATGGTTTAATTTGGAAATCCATCAATGGTAGCAATCGGACTTTGTACGTCTATCCACTTATTCCATATTTTTACTTATGTACGGACTTCCATGTCATATGATAAAAATTGACGAATATATTTGAGAATGAGCGTTGAACGTCAGCATGAAAAGGTACCTAAAGTACCTTTAAGGTGCCATTTCATGCTGACATTTGACGCTCATTTTTAGCGTCAAAATAAGTCACTTGATTAAAATTGACGTTTGCCTTCGTCAATTTTTATCACGTGATCTGTTTTGACGCTGAAAATGAACATCGAACGTCAGCATGAAAAAGCACCTTTAAGGTACATTGATATGCATCCGTCAAGCGTCAAAAGAACAGCGGAAACAGCAACGACTCAGCGAGGCGATATTAGCAGTGGCTTAAAAAATATTTACTTCGCCACTGGCCATATCGCCTCGCTGATTAGTTGCTGGTTCCGCCTGCTTGACGCTTGATGGTTGCATGTGAATGCAGGGTTGCCAGATTAGGCGACATGTCGCCTTTTAGGAGACTTGGAATGAGAATTTGCGACATGTCGCAAATTAGGCGATTTTCTCGTTCCCTCGGGCGACTTTTAGGCGCCGCCACGACGGCAGCGCCGAGACCTCCTTTACCATCCAATTCCAATATCCAATATGATTTTTAGGTCTAGAAGAATACAACATTAGCAAGCAGCGCCGCTCACAAACAGCGAGCGCTCATTCTTAAGGTACATTTCCACTGAGCGAGTACGTCGTCCATCGCGTCGCGTGACGCGCTCAGTGTAAACGTATCCTTATGCCAGTGCTGACAGTGCTGAAAATATATAGTGCACGTAACGTTCACTGTACTACTAATAGCTAACGGTTAAATATTAGAACGCGATACTTTCGTTAGCTGAATTAACGAAGCCAGAGAGCTGAGAGATATCTTAACGCGCGAATTTGAAGATGGGTTGTTAGCGCTTTTCTTATTCTTTTATTCCTTTTTTATAATTTTATGTTAACAATATATGTAAGATCATTCAAATGAGCCGCCTCGTTACTTCGCGCGTGTTGATAATAGTGAGCGACCCCATCGATAGAGGGAGAGTGTAGTGGAGAGCGCGCGCGTGTCTGCAATGTATGTTGAGTGAGTTCCTTGTTGTACGTTGTACCGTAAGCAAGGAGAATAAAAGGTTATTTTTGATTCAAGTATTTTGCAAATTATTTCGTATCGCCAGTTACTAGTTTCCACGCAAACATTTGGTCCTTCGAGCCGGATCCGTGATCCGAATACTACAAATATTGTGCCAACAATACGTGTGCGGCTAACGTGCCGAAATATCAACGAGTTCGAGACAAAGAAAAGGGAAGACATAGCATCAAAGATGTCGGAAAGTAGCGAGCTTCGTCGAATGCGAGGTTATATCAAGGCTAAACTTACGAGATTGCGATCGCGAGCGACGCAAACTAGCGAAGCGAGTATTGAGCTAAACAAAGAGCAAGCAGAAGCAAGGTTGGAAAAACTAGAAGAAGTATACAACGAGTTCGTATCCATACAGAAGCAATTGCTCGAGAAATCAGGTGAGCTCTCCGACGACGACGCATTTGAAGAGGAATGCTTCGAGGAAAGGTATTTTGAGGTAAAGTCTATATTGAAAGAATTTATAAGACAAAAATTAGTGGTAGATCCCGCGCCGCCGAATGCGGACGAGGTTACGCGACTATTGCAACAGCAAACCGAGCTTATGCAACAAATGCGATTCGATGGTCGTGGCGAAGGTTCGACCACCGCGATGCCGCGTAGTGATAACGAGTCGTTGGCAGCCATTCTTGCGCGTCAAACCGATATACTCGATCGAGTAGCAAACGTCGCAGGAATTGCTAATGTGGATAACAGGGTAAAATTGCCTACCATCAAACTTCCGAGATTCGATGGCAAAATTGAAGAATGGAAAAGCTTTTCAGATAGTTTTCGTTCTATCATTCACGACAGGTCGCAATTGTCTAACGTTGAAAAATTTCAATATTTAATTTCGGCCATTTCCGGGGATGCCGCTAAGATTATCGAGTCTATACAGCTAACCGGTCAGAATTATTCCACGGCTTGGGAATTATTGCAAAATCGATATGACGATCCTAGATCGCTCAAGAAAAAACATATTGAATGTTTATTTAAAATGCCCGTTATAGCTAAGGAGTCTGCAAAGGCTCTTCGCGAGTTAATTGATTATACTTCCAGGCACCTTCGAATGTTAAGAATTTTAGGTTTACCCACTGAATCTTGGGATGATCTCGTCATGCACATGATGGAAGACAAGTTCGATACAAAAACTCTTCGAGCATGGGAGGAGGAAACAAAATCTAGCGAGACAGTAAATCTAAATGACATGTTAGAATTTCTGAAAAATAGGAGTCTCATTTTAGAACGTATCAAATCGAGAGCTGCAACTAAGACAGAAAAACCTTTAAAAGGCCAGGAGCAGCATATAAAAGGTAGTCAGACGCATTCTAAGTCGCAGTCGGTAAGTAAGGGTATTGCAAATCAAAAAACAAGTTCTTTAACCGCTTCATTGAATTTTGGTAAGTGTTATCTATGTGATGGACTACATTTTTTATATACTTGTGAGAAATTTCTAGCTTTAACAGTGGACGACCGAATAAAGGAAGTCAAGCGTTTAAAATTGTGCATTAACTGCCTCAAGAACGATCATTTTGTAAGGTCATGTAAAATGGGTCATTGCAAAGAATGCACAAAGAAGCATAATACGCTATGTCATCTACCACGAGTTGATAACGATCTTGCAAAGGCAGGATCGCAGGACGATGCTAATCAATTGGTTACTAATGTGGCACTCAATCAATCACTACACAAGGTAAAAAGGCGTCGAATTCTTATGGCCACTGCAATAATGGAAGCGACACGACGCGATGGCTCGCGAATTTCGATCCGTGTGCTTCTCGACAGTGCAAGCGAAGCAAACTTTCTCACTCAAGCGGCATATAACAAGCTAGGTTTAAAAAGAAATAAGGCATTCGAGGTTGTAACCGGTTTAAACGAAGTTGAGAATAAGATTTATAATATTTGCGAGGTTCACGTGCTGTCAAAGTGTTCCAATTTCGAGGCTAGCGTTCAATGTCTAATCGTACCAAAAATTACTAAGAATTTGCCATCTGTAGAAATAGATCGTGACAAATTAAAGATACCAGGTAATATCGCATTAGCTGATTCAGAGTTTCACAAGAATGGTCCAATAGATTTGTTGTTAGGGGCTGAATTTTTCTTTGACATATTAGAGGTCGGGAAAATTGATCTTGGAAAAGACGAGCTAGTCTTACAAAATACAAGGCTTGAATGGATAATAGCAGGTACCGTGCCCATGACAGCCTGTAAAATTTCGATTGATGAAGGAAGAGCGATAAGTACATTAACTTGCTTGGTGGAATGTAGCCATACGTTGAGTGAACGTCTAGAAAAATTCTGGAAATTGGAAAATTATGACAGCGATACATCGCGAGCATTATCTGCGAATGATAAGAAATGCGAACAATATTTTGAACAGACAGTTACTCGAACAAGTAGTGGTAAATTCGTGGTAAAACTACCTTTTCGCGATGCAAATTTACCTATTGGCGACAATCGAGAAATAGCTTTTAAGCGTTTGATGCATTTGGAGAATAGATTTAAGCGCGACGACATTATGCTAGAACGTTATGTTAAATTTATGCGAGAGTACATTGATTTAGGCCACGTGTCAATTGTGAAACCTACTCTTGGCGAATGCAAGGGAGCGGTCTATTTACCGCATCATGGAGTGCTAAAAGAATCTAGTAGCAGTACCAAGTTACGCGTTGTATTTGACGCATCCGCTAAGAATAATAAAGGCGTGTCCTTGAATGACGCTCTTTTAATCGGGCCAGTTTTGCAAGATAATTTAATCGATATAGTCATACGATTTAGAACGTACAAAATCGCGTTGACCGCGGACTTACAAAAGATGTATCGCCAGGTGTTGGTTCATGAGAACGATCGTGATTTTCAACGCATTTTATGGAGGTTTTCACTCGAGGATTCTATAGAGGAGTATCGGCTGAATATCGTTACGTACGGCCAGGCTTGCGCATCCTATATAGCAGTCCGATGTTTGAGACAATTAGCTGTAGAGGGCGAGGAGCGTTACCCTCTTGCATCACATACGCTATTGCATAATACCTACGTAGATGATATAATCTCTGGTTCCGACACGACTGAAAGCGTTCAGGTGTTGCAAGAGCAATTAACTGCATTACTTCGACAAGGAGGTTTTGAGGCACACAAATGGTGCTCAAATTCCGTTAGCTCACTAGAGGGAGTCCCTTTCGAGCTCCGTGAACCCAATTCAAGTTTCGAGATTGATGCAAATGATACTATTCGAACATTAGGGCTTGAATGGAATCCAAGTTTAGATAAGTTTCAGTTCACAATTCAAGCGATATGTAATGCTTCTACGAAACGAGAGATATTGTCAGCAATTACTAAGCTGTTCGATCCTTTGGGTTTGATAGGTCCCATTTTAACGGTAGCCAAAATTCTAATGCAAAGTCTTTGGGAAACTAAAGTGGGCTGGGACGACCCATTGCCCGACGCGATATTAGATAAGTGGAAGGAATTTCGAGATTCCTTAAAGAATGCTCACAAACTGTGCGTACCTAGATTGGTTATCGGCGTATCCGACGATTGTGTATATTCTATGTTTGGATTTTGCGATGCATCAGAGCACGCATATGGTGCATGCGTGTACATACCATCGGTGAGTCCGTCTAGCCAGGAAACGACAGTCAAATTATTATGCGCAAAGGCTAGAGTAGCTCCTTTAAAAAGGCAATCTATACCTAGGTTGGAACTATGTAGCGCACTATTATTAGCTAAGTTAATAGACAATGTAAAACGCGCCATCCACATGGAAATCAATGAAATACGAGCGTGGTCTGTTGTACTGGCTTCGCGGAGATTTAACACGTTGGAAACCCTTTGTTTCTAATCGTGTGGCGGAAATCATTGAAATATTACCGGCGGTTCACTGGAATCATGTAAGGGGTTCAGAGAATCCGGCCGACTTGATTTCAAGAGGAGCCACGCCAACTCAGTTGATGGATAATTCCTTATGGTGGAATGGTCCTAGCTGGTTAAGAAATTATCGCTCATTTACAAGTTTGGAAGATTCTAATCTGGAATTCGCCGAAGACGACGTTCGTAATGCAGTACATGAAGCTAAAAGGCTTATAGCCACTTGTCATCTCATCGTTTCTCCATCATCGCGGACTGATGAGATTATTCATAGTCTCATTAGCAACTGCTCAACATTGTCAAAGATAGAACGAACATTTGCTTACTGTATTAGATTTATCTCCAATTGTCGCAAAAAACAGGATGAAAGAGTTCTGTCTAAATTAACCCTAGCGGAGCTAGAATCTTCGAGGCGTGAGATAATCAAGTATTCGCAACGCGTTCACTTCGCAGAAGATCTAAAACGTCTGCAAAATAATCGAGAATTGACACAAACGAGCCCAATACTGCAGTTACGCCCTTTTCTGGACAAGGATGGTATGATCAGGGTGGGCGGTCGGTTACAAGCCACCTCCTGGAATTTTGAAAGGAAACATCCTATTTTACTACCTAGGCAGTCTAGAATCACACGTCTGCTAATCGAGAGGGAACATCGCGCCTTATTGCATGCCAGTCAGCAATTGTTATTGGCCACAATACGGCAGCGATATTGGCCATTGAAGGCAAAGAGTTTGGTACGCCAAGTCTGCCGATCCTGCGTCTGGTGTACTAGAAACAATCCTAGGGGATTGACACAAGCAATGGGGTCCCTATCGCGCGACAGAGTTCAACCGTCCAGACCATTCACTATTACTGGCGTCGATTTTGCAGGTCCAATTACCTCTCTCGTCAACAAAGGACGAGGTAGAAAGACATGTAAGTCTTACATAGCGCTATTTGTTTGTTTTGCTACTTGAGCTATTCATCTCGAAGCTACAAGTGAGCTGTCTACATCAGCCTTTTTGGCAGCGTTACGCCGTTTCATTGGCCGGCGTGGATTGCCACGCAAGATTTGCAGCGATAATGCCACTAATTTTGTGGGTGCTAAAGGCGAATTGGAAGAGCTCTACACCTTCATTCGCACTTCCATTGATGGAGATGTTGGAGATGCCTTACAGGAAAGAGGCATAGAATGGTGCTTTATACCCCCCCATTCTCCGCATTTGGGCGGCCTATGGGAAGCGGGAGTCAAATCTTGCAAGTATCATCTTCGTCGAGTTATGGGCAACACTTTATTTACATTTGAGGAACTTACGACATTCCTGGTGCAGATCGAAGCATGTTTGAATTCAAGGCCGCTGTCGCCTTTATCATCCGATCCTTCTGATTTACAACCTTTGACACCAGGACATTTCCTTATGGGAGGACCTCCTACTAGTCTCCCGGACAACGATTTATTCGATATCAAAATCAATCGCCTTGATAGATGGGAGTTGGTTCAGCGTTCAGTCCAAGATTTCTGGAAACGGTGGGCGGTCGAGTACGTGGCTAATCTACAGAGTCGCGTTAAATGGAAAACTCGTCAAGAAAATCTCGGAATCAACGACCTCGTGTTATTAAAAGAGGACAATTTACCGCCATTAAAATGGAGACTCGGTCGTGTTACAGAGGTTCATCCTGGCAAAGACGACTTAGTACGCGTCGTAACAGTGCGCACGGCCACTGGAGTCACAAAGAGAGCTATTACAAAACTTTGCAAGTTACCCATGAACGATTCTATAAATGAAAAAGATTAATACGTTAATCTTGGTGGGCGGCGTGTTAGCGCTTTTCTTATTCTTTTATTCCTTTTTTATAATTTTATGTTAGCAATTCTTAAGGTACATTTCCACTGAGCGAGTACGTCGTCCATCGCGTCGCGTGACGCGCTCAGTGTAAACGTATCCTTATGCCAGTGCTGACAGTGCTGAAAATATATAGTGCACGTAACGTTCACTGTACTACTAATAGCTAACGGTTAAATATTAGAACGCGATACTTTCGTTAGCTGAATTAACGAAGCCAGAGAGCTGAGAGATATCTTAACGCGCGAATTTGAAGATGGGTAAACACGGAAAATATAAAAAACACTACCGCAAAGAATGGGAAAAAGAAAAGATTTTTAAAGGTTAGTTATTAACATTTTTAGAATTGAACCGTAATATCTATTAATGAATTACCTTTTGAAGAAAGAAAGAAAAGAGAAAGTACTTTATTTCTTGGTTACTGGTACAATGATAAAAAACCCAAAATGAATACATTTTTGTATAAATTTATGAAAGCTTTAAAGGAAATTGCTGAAAGTATTGAAATCAAATTACCTAACAACAATTGGATTATTGTAAGAGGTGTATTATTAATGGAAACTTGCGATCTTCCTGCAAAATGTGAATGTTTAAATTTCGTTCAGTTTAACGGTGATTATGGTTGTCATTCATGTTTATGCAAAGGTGGAAATGTTGAAATTGCTCCACGTAGTTATGTACATATTTTTCCATATAATAATGAATTAATTTTAAGAACGTCTCAACAATCCATTGAATTTGCCACTAGGATATTAAACAAACCCTTTATAGGAGTGAAAGGACATACAGTTATGTCAAAAATAATGCCAGACTTTATTACCGGAATGGCTATTGATCGTATGCATTGCGTTGATGGCGGTGTGGTTAAAAAAATTATGACGTTGCTTTTCGATCAAAAATATTCACATACTGCTTTTTCTTTGTATCCGGTTATTGATATCATCAACAGACGATTAATAAGTATAAAACCTCCGAAATTTATTCATCGTATGCCACGTACAGTTGCAGATTTAGTACATTGGAAGGCATCAGAATTAAAATGTTTCTTTTTCTATTACTCTATTCCTATTTTTGAAGGAATAATGCGTGCAGATTATTTTGAGCATTATCTACGGTTAGTTATAGCTATAACTATTTTAAGTTCTGATGAAATTACAGATCTTATGATACAAATATCTCAAGATTTATTACGTCGATTTGTTCGTGAATTTCAAGATATGTACGGAATTCAATTTTGTTCTATAAATATTCATTTATTATTACATTTGAGAGATTGTGTAAACAAATTAGGACCCTTATGGGCTTATACATGCTATGAATATGAAAATCTAAACGGTCAATTATTAAAATTAATAAACGGTACTCGTCACATTGACACTCAATTAGCTGCTTCTCAAGATCAATTTATTAAAATGACCAGAATATTAGAATTATTAGAAAATGATAATATTCGAACTTTTTGTTTAAAGAAAAAAAAGCAAGTCAAGATTATACAAGAAATATATCCACATTGTTACAGTGTTGGCATTTATAAATTACAACCCCTTACAGACATTATTACAACAGCTTTAAACAATAGTGAAATACTGTACAATAATATTGTAATATATCAATATTTTAGACTATTGTATAATAACAAACTTTATGTATCTAAGATGTATAATCAAAGTTTGCAAACAGAATCATCTATTGTACAATATTTTCAAAATAATGAAGAAAGATTAGGTATTATTCATTGTTTTATTAAACTTTCAAATTGTAATCAATCCACTTGTAATTGTTGTCGTCAACATTATGCAATTATTAATAAAATTATGAAGCAAGATATATTTACCGCTACAGGTTATCAATTTGAATATTCCACTGAACAATTTTTTTATAAATGTTCTCTAACAAATGATTTCTATGCTGTTTCTGTTAATTGTCTTTTAACGCCTTGTATTTATATAAATTTTGATAATCTAACGTATGTTGCTTTACCTATTAATAAAAAGGAATTTGAATAAAATTATTTGTCTCTTTGTCTTAATTATAATGTTAATTTAATATTATAAGTATATATATATATGCTGCATGTTTTTCATTATTTTTTATATATACAATTAGTTTTTATGTATGTATATATTTTAAATATTCATACATTTAAGTAAATAATTTTAATTTTAATTGTAATTAAAAAAAATTTTTTGGTATTTTATAAAATATCAAGAATGTATAATTCGTATATTATATCTATGTATATAAAGCTTTCAAAATGTCAGTGATCAAAACTCGAAACTCTATTTTTTAAAATTCGCGCAAGGCAAAAAGAGAAATTTATAACCATTTTAATCATCAAAATAAGTTTTTAAAGTATGGAGCATCCAAGTATCAAAGTAATATTAGAATTTTTATTCTTCGTAGTTTCAAAATAGCATTAAAATTGAATTTGAAGAATTGAAGATTTAAAACAGGAGTTAATAAGTACAATATCATTAAAGTAGCTTTTCATTATCTGAGGATCATCTAAGTGTCAAAATAGCATCAAAATATGATAGATTCAAAGTAGTATTAAAATTAAATGTATAGATTTAAAGGTTTAAAAAAGGGGTTACTAAGTGTAATATCGTAAAAGTAAGTTTTACCTAGTTTATAGAGTATTCAAATAGGTGCAAACTATCCTTAAAAATGTTAAAGTAGTATCAAAATTTTGACTCGGGAGGCTATACGTGTTTATCAAATTTAATAAATAAAAATATAAATAAATGATTTAAAATTAATTGTATATATTTAACCCGTTAACGCCCAAGCGGACACTTTTTCGGCACGATTTTCAACGACATTATTTTTAATGTTAACGCCTTGAGAAAAATTGTTGAATTATGATTTCTGACGTAAAATTTCGTGCTCTTTCAGAATCCGTCGTCAGAATTGACATACATTGCTTATAAAATTAAATATGAAATTTGGTATCAGGGGATTTTGATTATTATCAATGTTGCTAATTACACATCTGATGACTGAATAAAAAAATCCTAAATGGCGAAAACAATATGGCAGGCTGATACGCTGAATAGAATTTTATATTTTTTGTCAAAAAATTTATTCAAAAAGTACAACTATTTTGACCACTTATAGGGTAGGTTAGAACTGATAGCGTATAGATTTTCGTTATGAAAAAAATTGACGAAAAAAAATTACACGCGTTTTTTCTACGCGTATATTTAATTTTCTAAGCATTGTATGTCAATTCTGACGACGGATTTTGAAAGAGCACGAAATTTTACGTCAGAAATCATGATTCAACAATTTTTTTAAAGGCGTTAACATTAAAAATAATGTCGTTGAAAATCGTGCCGAAAAAGTGTCCGCTTGGGCGTTAACGGGTTAATAGAAAAAGTCATAAAGTCAAATGTGAAAAAGCGATAACATTTCATGCAAATTTTCTAATCAAAAGTTTACAACCGATCATTTGACCGGATCATGGTACGTTTAGTGTTAATTTGGAAAACTGCTACATCGGTTCAATTTAAGTATACGTTTAAACATTGGAAATAGTTTTGGTGTATAGTTGTAGAAATAGATATGTATGTAAAATCATACCAAAATAATATTTAAGCACAAGACGCAGCATGTATAAGACTAATAAGATCTTTTTGTTACCGGATTGTGAATTCAAATTGTACTAATATAAAATTAATTAACATTAATAAATGTTTTAATAATATTTTAGGGATATTAAAAGAAATATACCAAGGATATTATATAAATGGATAACATATACATCCATAGAACAGTCTCATAATGTTAAAAAATATACAATATTCTCGCAATATTATAATAAAGGGGGCACGGCAATGTCTCGTGCCATGTCAACGCTGAGACACTACTTTGTCTCCAGATAACTTAACTATTTAATAATATTTATATAACATTTGAAGAATATTTTGCGCTTATAGCGATAGGGTGTGTTGCGATATAGACTGCCAGTGCTGGCAGTACTGAAAAATCGTTCCATTATTAGTGCGCAGCGTACTGCGACAGTATCTAATAACATCAATAACGCCATAAATGGTAGCCATGTTGTCACTGCGACTACTGCAGCTTTCGAGGTGAGACAGTCGCAGTGTAACACTTTAACTTTATTCCAAAATACGACATTACAGCAGTGCTGAGAGTACCACAGTAATTTTGAAACAGCTGCGGCAATACGCTGTTATGACGTCACGTTTACTGCACTGCCAGTAAAAACGGAACATACCCTTAACATTCGTCACAATATGTAAAATACACAACATTCTTAGGGGCTACGCAGAATAAAAGGAACAGGGAACAGAGAACAGAGAATAAGAATTTCAATATATCAGAAATCATATACTATTGACATATGTTGTCAAGGACATGGTCATTGGGGGAAGGTCCCCTAATCGGTACTCTTCAGTACTCTTATCTTTTTTTTGAGATTAAAAAAAATCCTGACGTGTAGGGGTCAAACGGATGCCGGATTCAGCGGGAAAAAATACATAGGGATACTATAGTTTGCCGATGGACATTAAAGTTCACTTTTTTTTGTGGGCCTGTGTAATTAAAACTTAAATTGTAATTTTTTTGTGCAATGTTTCTTTATGCTAATTTTGTCTTTTCAAGATAATTTTGTATGCTTTCCTTTTAGAGAACACACTCGACACAAACATTGTTCTATCTTTATCATTCGTTGAATGTTAAGAAGGATAGAACAACGTTTGTGTCGAATGTGTCATCTAAAAGGAAAGCATACTTTGTAATTTTGTGTTACAATGCGTTAATTTTAACATATGTAAGCAAACGTTCTAAGGAACATAGATTAAACAATGGAATGTAAAAAAACGCTAAAAACGTCAAAACTTTTCGTAAACGCTTTAGGTTTCTTTTACGTTCCATTGTTCCAATCTACGCCTTAAAACGTTTACTCATTTCTGTAACTCTCACTTTAC